TATGGTAAGTTCGTTCCATGAAACTGGTTTCARAGAGCTAYGCAGATGAAAGTCCCCCTTCTATGTTGGCATATAGGATAGAAAACATTCAAGGGGGGTCAAGGCAATCAACATGTCCTCCTGCCCCATCGCATCAGCAATCTTTCATCCCATATTCAGTGGGATCAAGGACATGTTTGTGCATGAATGGGTGAGAAGAAACCCAAAGYTGCAGAGGAGACTCCTGGATTAACAGGTAACAAGAAGGTGGAACATAAGCCCAGGTAAACCATTGGCTGCAGACAGGGTCARCCTAAGAGAGGCCATGTGGGCTGCAATCAGCAAGGCCATGGGGTGGAGAGCACATGCCCTTCAAAGAACATATCTTGCCATCATGTGACCTAGATGCCAGACATGGAGCTAGAAAACTTATTTGTGCAGTTGAATATCAGTCTTGCTTTGGTCCTAATCCCTTCTTTCTATACTGGTCGCTCTCTCCATTGGAATGGAATTGTTTGCTCTATGCCATTACATATTGCATATAAGCACTTACCTTTTATGTTTACAGGCACTCACAAACAAGAGTTTAATTTCAGAGGAGACCTTGAACTTGAACTTTTGAGCTGGAGCAGTTGAGACTATGGGKACTCTTGGTRATGAACTARATGCATTTTTCATTGTAAGATGAATATGTGCTTTTGGGGACCTGAGTGCAATATCATGGTTTGTATATGAAGTGTTTGTCAAAACTCRTGGGTGAAATAGTGAAGTATTCTTCCAGGGTAAATTGATTAAATTTTAATTGTCTAAATTAAATGAGAGCTGTAACCTAATCACAGTGGATTAGTYCATTTGGTGAATTAATACTTGGAAAGGATTATTGTTCTGGATGATAGCGATGGGAGTTAGGGTATAGCTTAAGGCAGTAGGTCACTGGAGTTATGCCTTTAGGGTTAATATTTTGTYCCTGTCTCCWTGTACTCAYTCTCTGCTTCCTGACTTGCCATGATGTGAATTTTTTCCCCACATCACATCTTTCTTGCATGATGTTCTTCCTCATCTCAGACCCAGAGCAATGAAGTTGGCTGACCATGGACTGACACTTTGGAAACCCAGAGCCC